GGTTAGCTGAGGTTAGCAAGGGTTAGCTGAGGTTAGCTGCGGTTAGCAAGGGTTAGCTGAGGTTAGCCAAGGTTAGCTGAGGTTAGCTGAGGTTAGCTGAGGTTAGCTGAGGTTAGCAAGGGTTAGCTGGGGTTAGCTGAGGTTAGCTGAGGTTAGCAAGGGTTAGCTGGGGTTAGCTGAGGTTAGCTGAGGTTAGCCAGGGTTAGCTGCGGTTAGTCAGGGTTAGCTGAGGTTAGCCAGGGTTAGCTGAGGTTAGCCGAGGTTAGCTGAGGTTAGCCGGGGGTTAGCTGAGGTTAGCCAAGGTTAGCTGAGGTTAGCTGAGGTTAGCTGAGGTTAGCCGAGGTTAGCTGAGGTTAGCTGAGGTTAGCTGAGGTTAGCTGAGGTTAGCAAGGGTTAGCTGAGGTTAGCCAAGGTTAGCTGCAGTTATTAAGGGTTAGATGAGGTTAGCTGAGGTTAGCTGAGGTTAGCAAGGGTTAGCTGGGGTTAGCTGAGGTTAGCAAGGGTTAGCTGGGGTTAGCTGAGGTTAGCAAGGGTTAGCTGAGGTTAGCCAAGGTTAGCTGCAGTTATTAAGGGTTAGATGAGGTTAGCTGAGGTTAGCTGAGGTTAGCAAGGGTTAGCTGAGGTTAGCTGAGGTTAGCCGAGGTTAGCTGAGGTTAGCCGGGGGTTAGCTGAGGTTAGCCAAGGTTAGCTGCAGTTATTAAGGGTTAGATGAGGTTAGCTGAGGTTAGCTGAGGTTAGCTGAGGTTAGCTGAGGTTAGCAAGGGTTAGCTGAGGTTAGCTGAGGTTAGTCAGGGTTAGCTGAGGTTAGCCAGGGTTAGCTGCGGTTAGTCAGGGTTAGCTGAGGTTAGCTGAGGTTAGCTGAGGTTAGCTGAGGTTAGCAAGGGTTAGCTGGGGTTAGCTGAGGTTAGCAAGGGTTAGCTGGGGTTAGCTGAGGTTAGCAAGGGTTAGCTGAGGTTAGCCAAGGTTAGCTGCAGTTATTAAGGGTTAGATGAGGTTAGCTGAGGTTAGCTGAGGTTAGCCGAGGTTAGCTGAGGTTAGCTGAGGTTAGCAAGGTTAGCTGAGGTTGGCCAAGGTTAGCCGAGGTTGGCCAAAGTTAGCCAAGGTTAGCTGAAATTAGCCAGGGGTTAGCCGAGGTTGGCAAAGGTTAGCTGAGGTTAGCCAAGGTTA